AGACAGCTGACGGACTCACTCCATGTGAGGACCGTAGTCAGTCAAGTCTACCCACTTTCTCATTATCTCCTTCTTTTGCGGCTCGATTGGAACATGAAGACCTCACATTTGAAGGGAGGTACAGAATACAATAGACATTTTGGATGCGGCTAAATTCTTTGTTCCTCCTAGATGATCTAGGTTTACTATCCTTTCTACACCAAGAAATGCAGGTGAAGAAAGCCAATGTAATCGAACCCCCAGTAGCAGTAGGCCTCAGCATACACATAAGAAATCATGATCTTTAAATACAAAACAGAGAGCATCAACCCGATTTCACTTGATGGAGAAGCTTTGGGAGAGGTGGAAACCTTGATGTACTTGGACATCACCGATGAACAAAAACATCGGATGCAGATGTAAAATTAGGGGCTGACAAAGCAAGGGCAGCATTCCTGCAACTGAAAAATATGTGAAACTCATAAAGAACATCGACAGCTCTACTGTGCGTATCTTAAACCTCGAGAAAACTACAGAAATTTATAAATAAATGTCGACACAAGATAGTCTATATCCTTTGTTCGGATACCATGATCAGCAGCTTACTGTGGAAGAGGACAAACCAGATTTCGTCTGAAGGCGAAATTAGGAAAAGACGATGGAGGTGTATAGGACGTACATTGTTGAAAGCATCAAGCAGTGCCAGGATGCAAGCCTCAACTTGTAATCTTAAAGGAAAAAGTGAAAGATGGTACCATTCAACACACTGTGCCAACAATTGGAAACAGACGTGAAAAGAATGGATGGCAACTGGAAACACAGGGAAAGGATTGCCTAGAACAGAGTTCATGGGAGACTCCTGACAAGCAGTCCATGCTTCTCCACAAGAACTCTCAGGCGTAAATAAGTAAAATCTGGGGCTTGGGTAATCGAATATATTCTGGCACCAGGTAAAGTGTTCGAGGAGCATAACTTCTGTGTGCTGAGCCTAGTAGAAGCAATCCAATTTGTCTGCTGAGATGTTACAATATCTGCAAATCCCATTTTGGTTTTATGAAATCTCTCTTTGAAATAACATGTATGAGGGGTTTGGTTTTCTTCGAGATTCATCATCTAATGAAACTTGTCCGTCAACTGAGTTGTTTTGAAAAGAGCAGATTTAACTTATTGAGAGAGCTTAGATAGGATGAGTTTGTAAGAGGATGTCTTCGTCAGAAGTGTGCTAGCCAATGACTCCTCTTACTCGTAACTCATTGTCTACAAGTGTCTTAGACTTCATTTCTGAAGGAGTTCGTCAGGCCTTCGTTTAATAGCAGCCTATTTTAGAGTTTTGCAAGATGCAGAAGAATCATTAGTAAACATAAAACATGTGGTGTAGTTGTTAAACCTCCACTGCAATTTCCTCAACGTCCTGCAAAACTGTGTACATGTACGAATAGCACTATTTTATGGTAACAGAAATAACGGAAATATGTTCAAAAAACAATGTTTTCTGCTAGGCATTCCAGTTTACAAGCAAAATCAAAGTGTTACAAACACTACGAAATTTATCGTAATTAGATAATCAGTCAGGTTGATATGTTACATTGCATATGTGTCATAGGAGAAGGGTGATACATTTGCGTACATAAAATTGCAATTTAATAGACAACTGAAGGTCAAGAATTAATGAAAGCGGAGTGCAGAGCTTTTTAAAACGATACTTTCTGTGGCAAATGGATAATCAGTCAGCTAAAACCGTCAAACTTAACGTATTACTTTTGACTTCGTGTTAATGCCTCCAGGTAACAAATTTGATAGACCTTTAATAAATACAACCATGAATTCTTCTGAGAAATTAGTTAGAAATCTAACCACATCTCGTCTGTGGTATCTATTTTTGGGTAAATATATAGTCCGTAATCATAGGAGGGTCGCATAAATATTTCGGACAGGGCAAGCATGTTCAGCATTGTAGATAAATTCCTTACCACGAGACTCTTAGCCATCTAGATTTAGAAAAAATAAAGGATCGATGTTCCTCATATTTAAGGCTTCCTCTGTAATTAATACCTAGATCGTGTTTTCAATGATAATAGCATGATACCAACACCAGACATTTACAAGTCTATTTTACCGAGTACTTATTTATTGCTACAACTATAATGGTTTAGGATTTATGGTCGATGTGACTATCAGCAAGTGTAAGAAAGCTGTCTATAGAGACTTTCGGGCTGTAGTGCTAAATAAATCCCCAAAATAAACTGTCCTGTACGTCCTCGACATTGGTGGTAACCTTGTTAGTTTTACTGGACACACTCAAGCTGAAGGAGTTCAGTCACACATCTGAACCAGATCACAAGTGGGTACACCATGCATAAATCAAACGCTCCAAGGCATCAATTATAAACGTGATACGTCTAAAAGCATTCTCACACTTCGAACACCTGTGGCATCCTTAGGGCCTTGAGGATCACTCGCAATGTATGCCATAATCTGGATGAGGAAGTAATCTGTATATAATGTGCGGCGTCTGAGGAGCCATACTAGGATTACGGAATTGAAGCATCTAATCCTTGTGTTCGAATGTGAAGTGGGTATCTAAGAAAGAATTCAGTGTTCATGGTTCAAAATGGTGAATGTTCTTCTCGATCACACTGAAGCGCTTCAAACGAATTCCTTTACCTCATCATGGGCTATGAAGTGAGCAGGCGTAGACCTGCCTGGTGATAAACGATAATTTTTGTGGGAATATCTCATCATTTTCGAGCACCTTAGGATAACTCAATATCTGGGACAGCAATATAAATATATTTGGACGATGATTAAGTGATCTGCTGCTGGAAGTCTCCACCTGTAATGAGCCTAAGGGACACTTGTTGTGTCTAATCACCTAAGATTTTTGACAGCTTACACGGGAGCGTGCGCACTCCCTCACGTCTTTATTCATACCAGGCCAGTAAAACCGTTCTGCTATGAGATTGATGGTTGCACGAGCACCTGGATGAGAAGGTTTGTGCAATGTATTGAAGACGTTGCGTCGATAATATTTCGGCTCGATTAGGCGATCCCTACCTGCGGATGTGTCACACAGTAAGGTTTCCTTATTTCTTCCCATCTGTTCAATGAGCAGTTTAGGTGTTGCTGAGGAAAACCCATACTGAAGATCAGTGTCTTGTTTTTCAAGCTGAGTTTAAGAAGGTAGATGCCTTTGAAATTGTTCAAGAAAGTTATAGTGTTGAAAACGCCGTACTGCACAATACATAGCTAGGAGTTCCCTACCGAAAGTGCTGTACCTCGATTCAGTGTCTAGCAACCGTCTAGAGCAAAGTGCCAAAGGTTACCAGGAGTGGTTAGCCCATTGTTGTAAGACTCCTCCGATTACCGAGTTGGATGGGTCTACTGCTTCAGTGTCATGATGTGCAAGCACTATTTCTTTAGTGATAAGTTCCTTAATTGTGGAGAATGCCTTTCGCGTAATATCATCCAAATTGGAAGATTTCGCATTTCCATGAAGTTAATCGGTTAGCGGTTTCATAAGTGACGCGCAGTTTGGTATGAACTGTATAGAAACTTACAAGGCAGTTAAATGTGCTCAATTGTTTGATGGTGGTCGATTCTGGGTAATCCAGAATGGCCAACACTTTGCTTCTAAAAGGTTGGATGTCTTGCGTGTCCTAGGAAGTCTAAGGAGTCAGTTCCGATTTGGCATTTCTGAATGTTTACATTAGTGTCATGTTTTTTTAGTTGGTCGAAAACAAGGTTCAGATGCTGGAGATGCGATTCTCTGTCCGGACGTGCTATTAGGCAGTCATCAGCATATGCATGTACGAAGTTGAGACCTCGAAAAACGTCGTCTATGAAATTTTGGAAAGTTTGTGCTGCGTTTCTTAGGCCGAAAGGCAATCGCAAAAATTCATGGAGTCCGAAGGGAGTTATATTAGCGGTTTTCGGAATATCGTCAGTGGCCATATGGATTTGGTCATACGCTTTAACCAAGTCGATTTTTAAAAAAAGAGCTGTATCTTTCAAGGTAGCTGTCAAATCGTGAATGTGAGGCAACGGGTAACGATCGGGAATGATTTTTGCATTCAGTCGCCTATAGTCACCAGTCGGACGCCAATATTTGCTGTCCTTTTCAGGGTCCATGTGCATGGGGGATGCCCATGAGCTGTTTGACGGTCATATGATCCCTAAGTCTATCACGTTAAAAATATGTATCCAAAAACACGGGAAAAAATATCACGATATATGAAAAATTAAAATAAGGCAGTGATACATAAAAACCTAAAAAGGAACAGACTCACAGTTTGCAATTTGGTGTACCAGATAATGTCGGGCTCACCAATTATGATGCCACAGGTATTCGGAGTTTGACAACGCTTTCACCAGTAACACCTTTTACGAATCGTACACACCAAGTGAAATCAAAAGACAGAAGCGAAGAGGCTCGAAGATATATTTGATAAGCTATCAATATGTCGGGGATTGGCTGGTCTAATCTGGTTAGCGATTGCAGCGGATGTTGAGCACGGCGTTACCACTCATGACTGAGAGCCTTTAGCTAGGTCGGTTCATTAAAACCAATGTAGTCAGCCTCAAATGTCAAAAACGCACAGAGCTATTGACTTTTGGGATTTATTTACCGCTACATGTGGATCGATGAATCAGCACACAGAAGTCACACTTACCAACAAAAAGAACTGATAACATTTGGCAGAAATACAATATTAATAGTATGGAGGTTCCATGAAAGTCAAGAATTCGTGGAAACAGATTCTGAATTCATCATACTGCTATAATAAAAGCTGTAAATATAATTTAGTGATAACGTTCAAGCTGTTTCACTCATGCGCTTAGATCTACTTAGTTCATGTATATTAGAAAATTTCACATAGTGGTAATTCACGTAATTGGCTGAGTACTATCAATCCACACACTAAAAATGTGACGTATAATTTCAGCCCTCAATAGTTTCAAATATTCCGCTACCTCTTTCCATTGACCTTGTGCTTCGTGTTGGGTTTTTACTCCGATTTGGGATGGAGGCTGAGGCTAGCTATGATTTTGTTGCCAACGCTGAAGATGAACTTGGATTTAAAAAAGGAAGTCTCTTAAAGGTAAGTAATATTGCATAATCAGACAGCACAATGTGGTGCACTTCCATAATAAGCTTCAGTGTTATAATTTTGTATATTCATGGCATATATGTTTAGCTTAAGATAGCGATTAAGTCTTTCCAGCTCACCGAGTGGGCTCGACATATCGACCGGTCAGGTCTGCTTTAAATCATACCGTTATATCCATACTTCTGATCCAAACTAAAGTAATAAATGAGGCTTTCCCAATAAAAACCTGTGAATAGACAAATAGAAAACTGTCTTGTTATTTCACTCTGCATCGGAATGTCCGAAAACATTGGAAGTCACTACTTATTCACCCACGTGTTTTTAGTTTGGTATACCTATGAAACTCAAGTCCTGTTAGGGTTTTCACTGCTACTATTTTTGTGTAGTCTGATTTTTAACACTCATCAGCTAAACAGCTGATTATATTTCTATGACTGCGAAAATTTTTCGTAATATGCGTTCATATTCTGCAGCAGACCATTATTAAGCTGTCCAGAGTATAAACATAGGTCTGTTGATTTATGAATTAGATGTTTCACTTTCGTAAATTTGGCGAACCTCAGCAACAAATTATGCTAGTGATCACTACTCTAACGGAAAGTTATCCATAACATCTGTGAAAATCAGACCTCCTTAAAGTAACTGACTGGTTTGATAAGACTCAGTGGTGGTGCCCTAGCTAGCACTATTCTTTCTATAAAGTTTAAAGACCCTCTATTTCATCTCAAACAGCCGAGTAGTGTTTCTCCTATTAAAAAATGGATCAGTACCAAGTGGTAATATCCGTACATTTGGTTAGTAAGTCACATCAAGTTATTTAAACTGTAATATTATGGTATAATTCCATTGACTTCCAAGGTTGCAGTTTGTATCCTATACAGCCTTTGGTGATTCTATTTCGTCATTCTTGTAAGCGTCTCCCATAGGAAGTCATTCCAGCGTTTTTATGAGAGTACTAAAGCAGCTTCAGCCTAATTAAGATATTTCGTGAACATTTCTTAATCTCTAATGTTTTTGTTTGAACTATGTTTATATTATTTGACTCTTCATTTCATCCATTGATACTTTGTGTCACGATAATTTGTAGAGCGAGAACTAATTTATCTTGAATCATTGTTAAACCCTAAGAGCTTGAAATGACTATTACAGTGTAAAAATCAGCCTTACACTCGTATAAAAAGCAAACACAGTCACAACAAGCCAAATCTAGAGAATGAATAAGAATAGTTGTTTTTTCACAAGTGGTTTGATCTTAAAGATCATAAAACAAAGTGAAGCTCAGTTGTATAGTCAGGCTGTTGTTATTGTGTTTAATAAAAGGTTAAGAAACATGTTATCCATATACCATAAATAGCTTACTTTGTTATTTATTATTTATTTATTTTAACACAAGTATAGGTACAGGGAGGCACCAAATACATATGCGCCACACAAATCTCAATTGATTTGTGTGGGGGCTGTGATACTGCCCGGGTGCCCAAACCGAAGCAGGTGGTTTTCTTAGGGGGCCACACCCCGAGCCTTCGATCTGAACGTCTGACCCACAAGGCAGTGGAGAATCGTAAGGAGATGCAGTCCCATGGTAGCCGGTGACCAACGATTGGTTCATACGCCATTTGTTCCCGCAGGATACTGGAGCCCATGTGCACCATTGGTTTTGGGTCCGGTTAAAGCGCCAGACATTCGCTTTTCGTCCTCTCATTTTTGTAAACAACACCCCCGCCACGAGAAGGCAGTGAGTAGGACTTCCCTGGCAGAGGCTATATACGTATGGCCATGTGAGAGCATTTCGAGTGGGAGAGCGGTCTCTCCCCACTTTCGGCCGTACCAGGGCATTTGTTACCTAGGTAGTGTCGTGTATAACCGTTATGTCAGTTCCTGTCTCATTTTTTGAAGTCACTCATACTAACCTCAACTTTAGCATTCAAGAATTATCCAATTGCATTACATACTTATCACTCACTTTCATAGATACTATGTGTAGAAGACGATCCTAACTGGTACCTAGCCGAACAGGAAGGCCGAACAGGTTTAATACCGTGCAATTACATTACAATGCGTCCTCACCCCTGGTACATCCGACACTGTAGTCGTATGGAAGCCGAAGAAAGACTTCAAGAAATTGATCAAGAAACAGCACAGCATTTGCAACCTGATGGAGCTTTTATATTGCGTCAAAGTGAAGCAGACGGTAAAGGATTTAGTTTGTCTGTGAAGTAAGTATTGTTCAATAAAATCATCTCAGTTCCAAATAATCACTTGACACATGCTTTCTCGGATTATCCTTTCCTCCATGCTGAACGTGTCTTTCTTTACTCAGAACCTAAGTATGGATATGTGTATCAAACCTTAACCCAAGTTAATCCGAAATAAAGATGCCATCCTAATTGGTAAATATGAATAACTGACCTCGGTGAATAAAAATAATGCATTCATATTTCTAAGCGTCTTGTAGAATATTTAAAAGGAAATTAGTCAGTAAGATAACAATTCCTTCGTAATGGTCTGTCTACCAACCAAAGGGGTAGTATACTGAGCATCAATTTTCTCTGTTCAACTTTGAGATATACCTCTTTGGACTAGACGGCATTCGTAGATCACTATTGTCTGATTATATATTCACTTTAAAGCAGTGCTGGTGTATGTTGGGATCATTAAGTGGTCAACATGGTTGAATATACGGTACAAAGATAAGAAATCGGTTGAAGTTAGGGATCTCCATCAACCGGTGGTTGCAATATATATTACGCATGCCTAACCACACCCCGTTTTGACGCGTGACGATATCTCATGTAGGAGTAGGTTAGAATAAAGTTAGGTGAACCCAAATTTAGACGTGGCATCAGTCTATGACATGGTTAGCTCTTGGAATAAGACTTGTAAGTAGGTGCAGACTACCTGGTTGGTGCTCACACGATTTTCGTAACCAGACGTTAGAAACGCCGAGTGACATCAAAATCGTTCACAACAGCACAGGCGAATTTATTTTTTGTGCTACTTTATGTCTCAAGTTCATAAATTCATACTTTTTTTACTCCATAAACCTGTATTTTCACAAATATTCTCTAATCCTTAATCTTTACCACTACCACTAATACTTTACATACACTGCTTTGATGTCTCTCTGTGCTGCTGTGCAATTCGAAAAGATATACGTATGTTCCATGTTCTGCGTTGTTTGTTGGTGATTAACTGCTCATAATTAATAACAACCTAAATCATTTGGTTCACAATGCAATTACGGGTTTTTAAATGAAAATACAGCTATTTTAAGCGTATATAAGATCACTTGGTCAGTGACTATAAAAATTACTTTAGGATAAGATTTAGTTGAAGTGAGTAAATATTTTTCTTTTCATCTTTAGGCCATACTGTGCTAAAGTGTCATATATTTCAAATTTAGTATTACTAATATTCCGTTTCTCACTCCACTAATTACTAGATACTAAGTCAAGGTATTGCGTGAGTGTTTATGACATTTACTACTATCTTAGAGAATTAATACACGAACATCAGGAAATATTCGAGTCTAAAGTATGTTGATATTATTTGCGGCTACTGAATACGACTGTTGATAGTCAGTCGGCTTTTACGCAACTCAAAGTATGTATCTCTTCAAATTGTTTTTAGAAAATTGATGTCTTATTATATTAATCAGTGTATAATTCATCATTATTCAAAGGCAATGTAATGTTGAGTGTATAAAAAATCACATACTTTTAATTGTTATTTACCTTATTCACAAAATTATAAACTGAGACTGTGATCTTCTGGCACTACAGTTTCGTGATCCATTGACATAGGCACTTACGAATAGTGGACTTAGAAATCACACCCCCTACAGGAGTTTGGTAAGACATATAGAATCGTTACTCTTCATAAAAAATGTTTTTATGAACTTTCAAGAGGATTTTACGAAGTAACAGATTATGCATCATATCGTATTTGTATAGTTAACTGTTATATTTTCGCTCTTACGGTTATAACCCAGCTATTCCTATTGCTTAGTATTCACGGACACAGATTCACTCGACAAGGCCCCAAATCAGAACACGATTGAGCAGGAAGGAGATTATATTCCAAATAACAAGGTTAGGTGGAAGCAAGAAGCAAAATAGGAAAACCGTTAGTATATTTATAGCTTTTTACATAAGAAGAATCTAGAAGCTTCTCCATGTATAGACTGGCGCTGATTGGATAAGAATCAGCCAATCAGCGTGCGCCAAAGCAATCGTGCATTGAGCATGCTTTAATCCAATCTATGTCCCACTAACACCTCCCCTTTGAGCAGATTCGTAGGATCTGGTGCTAGGGTCCAACTGCAACCGAGTGACTGGCCTGTGCTTTCGATTTGTCCATCGTCTAGGCAATAAAGAAGTATCACTCTTTGCTTGCACAGAAACTGACCTGTCTGTTCCAGGCGTTTTGATTTCAAAGGTGTCTAGCAGAACATCAAGAGGTAATCGATATTGAATCTCATTGCTGGCTATCGAAGTTGCTTTCAATTGGTTAGCATGACGTACCCAAACTTCTGAGCCAACTGACACCTCATAAACCACACTCCCCTTCTTTTTCAAGATCCGACCAGCTGTTCATGTAGGATGTTTCTCACGATAGTCCATAGCAAGTACTTTTTGTCCCACCGTGAACAATCGTTTTTGTGCCCCATGATGTCGATTGAACTGATTCTCCATAGATAGGTTTCGTTGAGGCTCAAGAGCTGGCGTAGGACGGATGACATCGAAATGTGTTCGTATTTTTCTGCCAAGTAGAGCTTCTGCTGGAGAGACCCCCTTAATCGTCTGAGGGTTCGGTGTCGAGCGATAAATAAGCAGGAACCTCTCTAAGATCTCTTCGGTGGTCCCCTCCCCTTTAGATTTTTTTAGAGCATTTTTAAATGTACTCACAAAGCGTTCCACTTGACCATTTGATTGGGGATGGAATGGAGGTGTTCGGACGTGATGGATTCCGTTCTGCCGACAAAATTGTGAGAAAATTACGGACGTAAACTGTGTTCCGTTGTCACTAACTATCAATTCCGGGACTCCGAAACGACTAAATAGTTGACGTAGCTTACTGACTGTGCAGCTTGCAGTCGGGTGTTCCATGAGAAAGATTTCTGGCCACTTGCCATATGCATCAACTACCAAAAGGTAAGTTTGTCCATGAAGTGGACCAGCAAAGTCCAAGTGTATACGCTGCCACGGTGACTGTGGTATTGGCCATGATTGCAGCTCTGCTTTTCGCGGTGCTTTCGTTGCTAATGCACATTTGGTACATGAACGGGATAGCTGCTCCAGTTGAGTGTCTAAATGCGGCCAGTATACATAACTTCGTGCTAATGCTTTCATGCGATTTATTCCAGGATGTCCTGCGTGCAACTGTTCAAGCACTGCTGGTTGTAGCTTCTTTGGGATTATGACACGTTCTGCAAACAGCAGGCAGTCGTCGATGATTGAGAGAGAGAGTCTACGCTGGTAAAACTGTTGAAGCTCTGTGGAACTGATCTTCGTGGGCCATCCTTCCAGGTGGAACTTTCTAACTTCTTGTAGAATCGGGTCTCGAAGAGTTTCTTCTCTGACTTCATCTGACGACACTGGAGTGTTTCGAATGGCATCTGCCACTATACTTCGTATTTCTGGGTCTACTGCTATGGAGGCAATGATTATATCCTCTGGTCCAGGATGCTGAACTCCAATTAATCGAGAGAGAGCGTCGGCTTGACCGATAGTATTTGTCGACTGATACTTGATATTGAAATCATAACTCAGCAGCATTGTTGCCCAGCGCTGTAGTCTATTAGCCGTATAGACAGGGATTCCTTTCTTAGAACCAAAGATTGCAATCAAAGGTTTGTGATCTGTCAGTAGAGTAAATGTACGACCATAGAGCATTTTATGAAATCTTTTGACAGCGAAAATGATCGCAAGAGCTTCCTTTTCAATTTGACTGTAGTTCCGCTCGGCTGGGGTAAGTGATCTAGCAGCATGGGCAATTGTCTTTTCTGATTTGTCCGGAAACACGTGAGATATCACTGCTCCAACTCCATGACTAGATGCATCAGATGCAACAACAATTTCCAAGCTGGGATCGAAGTGTGTCAAAAGAATCTTTGAGCTGAGCATTGATTTGACTTTGTCGAAAGATGCTTGACATTCTGCTGACCACTGCCAAGGTTTATCTTTTGATAGTAATTCATTCAGCGGACCTCTCACTCGACGCATTTCAGGCAAGAATGTGCTATAGTGACTGATTAACCCCAAGAAGGATCTTAATGAAGAGACATCAGTTGGTGCAGGCATCTTCTGAATGGCTTCGATGTTGGCAGGGTCTGGTCGGCGACCGTTCTTATCTAAGATAAAACCAAGGTATTTGATGGAATGCATAAAGAAAGTACACTTTTCCTCACGTAGTTGGAAACCATATTCCAACACTCGGTTAAGGACTTGATGTAGTCGATCAGAAAGTTCATTGTCAGTTGAACCCATAACTATGATATCATCTAGATAAGCTGCTGTACCAGGTATACCTGTTAGCATCGTATCCATTATTTGCTGAAAGATGGCAGGTGCAGTCTTGATGCCAAATGGTAGACGGGTGTATTGAAATAACCCTCGATGAGTGTTAATGGTCAAAAGCTCTCTACTGTCTTCATCTACTTCTACTTGCAGATAGGCATCGGAAAAGTCTATTTTCGCGAAACATGTCCCACCATTAAGTTTGGCAAACAGGTCTTCAGGAACTGGTAATGGATATTGATACACATCTAATGCAGCATTTAAACCGGTCGAGAAATCGGCACATATGCGTATAGTTCCATTCGCCTTCTTAATCACTACGATCGGTGCGGCCCATGCAGAGTAGTTGACTGGTTGAATTACACCAGCCTGTTGCAAGCGATTAAGTTCCTGATCGACTAACTCAAGAGCAGCATATGGTACAGGACGTCTCGGACGAAAAATAGGTTTGACATCTGGTTTCAGTGGTAAATGAGCTTTCATCTTGGTACAGTGGCCAAGGCTATGCTGAAAAACAGAGGCAAACTTTCTTTTCAGTTTTTCTAGTAACCTTTCACCTGTCTTCTTTGCAAGTACTGGGGTGTCTAATGATGAACACAATACGTTGCAGACACTGTTTATCGGTACATCCATTATTCCAAGTTTATCTAACATATCTAGACCAAGAAGATCAAGGTTTGGCCGTTCTGTTAGGTAAC